AGTACAACACTCTTACATTTCCACCACCATCACCACACACTGGGTCGCACTCCTGCACCCTGCCCCGACCCTCACTCACGTAGATTCCAGTCGGAGAGCGCGTCGTCGTCGTCGATGCCGTCGTCGGACATGTGTTCGTCATCGTCGTAGCCGTCCTCGTGCTTGATGTGGTGCGTCTTCGAGCGGTGGAAGCGCGGCCGGATGTCCTCCTCCCGGTCCGGGATCATCTCGTCCTCCTCGATGTCTCCCTGCTCGCCGGAGGGAAAAACGGGCGACGTTAGACGCACCGCCTCACTCGTGGCGAACGAATCGATATCAGAAATCGGACGGAAACGAGGTACGAGTCATCGGAAACGTCACGGCAACAGGTCGCCAGAAAAACCCGGGAAAACGGTGACGTCAGACGCGTGCGCGCGTAGGTGAGCGATGTCCGAAAATCGGACAAGAGCGAGAGACGGGTCACCAGAAACGTCGCTGCAATTTTTATGGATTTTATTATACCCTAGGTTATATACTAACTAGAAATCTAAAGAATTTTCAAAACCAGGATTGGCTGGCCCTTTAGACTTAGATTTACGAGACTGGTTTGAAGGCGTAATTAAGGAGAGAAAACAGAAAAGGGAGTCGAGTGATGAACGTGTTACATCCGAATTCAGAGAAGCCATAATAACTCGCACACACCGGCACGCCGCAAACCGTACTATATGCGGCGAAACCAGCGAACGCGGCTAATACCCACACGTGCAGACGCACCGCGAAAACAAGCGAATGCTTCCGATGGAGGCATCCGTATCGAAACGAGCGAACGCAACTAACACGCCGCGAAAACAAGCGAACGCTCCAACAAACTAAAAAAACAAGCGAACGCGGCCGGCGGCCCACCTTGAGGAGGATGATGTCGATCTCTGAGTACTTCATGCCGTGGACTAGAATCGGTATGAGTCGCTCGAGGTAGGGCGCGAGCACCTCCTTGCAGATCGACTGCTCGGCGAGCGACAGCCAGAACTCGCACGCTTCCAGCGCCACCGTCTCGTCCGGGTCCTGCGTCCTCATCAACATGTACTGCAACGATATGAGCGCACGCGGAACGTCAAGCAGGGTGGAAGAAGGAGATGTTGCTGTTATTGAGTAGTCTTACTGCGGTCGTTAGCTTGACAGCGTCAAGCAGCGGTGGGAGAGAGAGAGAGAGAGAGAGAGAGAGAGAGAGAGAGAGAGAGAGAGAGAGACAGAGAGAGACGCATGCTTGCCGCCTCTGTAAAATTGTTTCAACAGAAATGACAGCATTAATTAGGGATGATTGATTCTGAACACTTCCAATTAGATTGTTAAAAGATGTCAAATATTCTAGCAATAGCTCAACTGATTAATCATAAATGAATTACGACTAGTATCCTAAGTACACAAACATATATATTTATATCATATGAAAAATGGCATCGTTTTTAAATGTTTATTGCAATATATAGGTGTGCGTTTACGATTACCCTCTGCCAACTTGGTCATGTTTTAGTAGATTTTAATCAGTTACGTCTTATTAGAAAAGAAACGTCACCAACTATTATATATCCAAATGTATCAACAACAAAAATTCCCGCAAGCAAAGCAGCAAGAAAGCAAGCAAACCATAATACATTAGTGAGTTAGAGTACAACAACACATCAAGCATACATACCTCACAGACATTATAGTCCTCAGAGTCCAGGAGGTGGCATAGATGTGGGAGAAGTTGTGGCCATTGTGTCAGCTCACTCTTGTTAGCAATGGTTGTAATGAGAATACCTATATCGTAATGACAAGCAAAGTATTAACAAATTATTATATTAGGAAATTATATATATCATGAAAATGAATTTAAATATTGTTAGATTAAACCATAGTTGTGATAAGGATACCTAAATTGTAATAAATGAGCGAGACACATTAGAACATGAAGCACTCTCACATTTTCAGATCAACTACAGTACTTAGTAACTGCGCACTCGACAAATGCCTTTTTTAAACTCGCTCGCAAATCTCACAAGTGTCATACACAAGTGGTCCAATATTACTGACAAACAACACTCATAAGCTAGCCGATTCTCACTACAACTGCGCAACTCGCGCACAAACACATCAAAAGGATAACACATATATCACTTTCAAATCCGGAAGAACAGCACAACAACAGAGACGGAATATGAAAGGACGTTTTGCACCATCCGTCACGTTCTTTACGGGTCACACCTGAAAGCAGCCCCCCCCCCTCACAACGCGCATTTGACGAATGAAGCCACAGAGTATCGCACACGCACGGCGCGGCCGACGCGATCAAGTCGCGCATTAACTCGCCTATAGCGGCTCATTTTAATTAAATCACCTATAGTGGCGCATTTTAATTAAATCACCTATAGTGGCGCGTATTAATTAACTCACCTATAGTGGCGAGTATAAATTAACTCACCTATGGTGGCGCGTATTAATCAACTCACCTAGAATGGCGCGTATAAATTAACTCACCTATGGTGGCGCGTATTAATCAACTCACCTAGAATGGCGCGTATAAATTAACTCACCTATGGTGGCGCGTATTAATCAACTCACCTAGAATGGCGCGTATAAATTAACTCACCTATGGTGGCGCGTATTAATCAACTCACCTAGAATGGCGCGTATAAATTAACTCACCTATGGTGGCGCGTATTAAATAACTCACCTATGGT